TTACTTTGGAGTTAATAAAACTCTGTTAGTTTGATTTATACAAGCTACAGTCTTTCTCAGAACAGATTACTGTTAATCAATTGGTTGAATACATGATTTGAGAAACTAAACATTGTAGATACTAAATATCTTGTTTAGTAAGTGTGTTGAAGCCCACATCAACATTATAAGTTTCTTATTTCCTAAACCACGATTTCCTTCCCAAACTTTATTATTTTGCGTAACTGGGATTATCTAAAATGTTGGACTACACTACATTTAACTAATATCTATGTATGTGTGCATTATAATGTAAGACTGATAAATAAGCCTGTTTTCAGACAAAGATTTTAAACTTTATTTTATTAATTCATAACAAATATACATGTCCTGCCAAATGTTGCAAGAATATAGTTATGTTAGCTGATAAATAGCAATATTATCAAGGTAACTACGGCAAAAATAAAAGATTCTTGACCAATAAAAGGGCTGAAAATTTTAAGTGCATCTTTATGATCAATGATATGTCGTAAAGATTGGTAGAACATTAAACAGCATTGATTAAATTGATGAATGAAATGACAATCAAACTACTATAAAGGCATAGTTACAACTAGTTACTAAGGCATTAACATTCCGGATAGACAAGCCCGGATATATATAAATTAGTCACAAAACAATCCATTGAAAGGTTTCTCTATAATTACACATATATATTTCAAATTCTATCTTAACATATTACTAGTGTAAAATAGAAACAATGTAATTCAATGACTAATTTAACATCAATTCATTAACTTAGATGAATCTAGCTACTTGATAATATACCCGTATTGAATAATACATTATGATAGATGATGTGTGGGTGAGAATGATAATGATTGGTTGTCTGCTTAGTCAGATATACAAATAGTCCGACAGGTTTTAGTTGAGTTATTATTACTGCGATTGTTTTTGGATTGTGTCGGATAATTGTCGGTTTCCAGTGTGGAAATATATATTTACATTTTAGTCAAGCTAATCGCATGTTCATGATCATCTGATTTGTGTTGAATTCCTGTAGAATAGACACTGGGAGGGGATCTAATGTAGATATTCGTTTAAGGTAATTTAACATCCCATACATGTAGATGAAGTAAAACTGAGAATTATAACAATAGATAAGAATAAAATAACCTTTATTATTAATGTTGTAACGTGTGAGAGACTGCAGGTTTTGATAAGCAGTGTTTTATCGATCGACCACAGTAACACGGAAAACACGTACGGACGACCTAGTGCCCTGATTGGTCCCGCTTCGCAGTCTGTCCCAGCCAATTGAGTCAGGAACACAAGTCACAGCCTCTGAGTTATGAATCATTATATTTCAAACATACTTTGTTTATATACCAATCAAGCATACCACATCGTACCATAAAATAGGAAACAACATTTACAAAACATTTAACAAGTGAAATGAACATCGACCAATAAGAAATGTACATTTAAGGTTCAAGGACACCATAGACTTAACACGATAATTATTGGTATATTTTTCCGACTATCCTAACAATTAAAAACCAAAACAGTTTACAATTATGTTACTTTTAAAATATTAAATTCCATTCTCATTAACTTTGCTTCACAGTCAGTCAACTACAACGTAGGACCAGGCACATATATAAGCATCGATTCAAGTTGACAATATCTCATTAGCACAACAAGATGAACACCAGATCTATAGATTATACTCATTGTTTTGCTTTTTTTGTTGCTATAATTCAACAGACATAATTTCTCTATTTTAATTAAGTTGTAAAATGAATACACGTAATCAATAATTAAATGTTTAATAATAAACCGTGACCAGTGGAGTTATTCCGTGTCGGGTAGAGACAAGTATCTACCTCAGTATAGTGGAAGATGGTGGCGCAATTAAGTGGGTTGGTTGAGGTTAGACATTAACACCGTTGGATGCCGGATCAATGGTAAAGTAGGTTAATCGTTCGTGCGCGGGGCTGAAGGCGCTGGGTTCGAATCCCCGAGCAGGGTCGTGGGTGCGCACTGCTGAGGAGTCCCACAACAGGATGGAACGGCCGTCCAGTGCTTCCAGGTTTTCAATGGTGGCCTAACACCAATTGGTTCAAGATCTCAATTAATAATAAGTGTTAACTACTATATTCAATTTACAAGTTGCATTAACTAAGAGTGGATTGCCTAACTAAGATGTGGTACCAATCGCTGAAGTTGTTCAATGTTGGCCTGAACAGTGTAGTAGTCTGTGTAGTTGATTGTAACCAGCAGTTCAAAAAGGGGTTCAGAATCTGTCCCAATGATGTTCGATCTTTGTATTCCCCTAGTTACTGAGTCTTATAATTATCTTATACTTTTGATTCCTTCTTCTCGAATCATACTATTTATTAACTATATTTCCTACATTGATTATGACTGAGTGAATAGAGTCAAAATCATTAGTCATTATTAGTTGGGTGGTGTTAGGCAGTCGACAAGTAGCGCTGGTCCCAGGTTACGCATGTTATATCAAGCAACTGGCTTTAAAAGGTAGTCAATCCTATCCGACACTAAGATTAGGAAATATTGGGTTTGGATTGCAAAATGGTCGAATATTTTCACAGGATAAACATTTAATTAGCTTATTATTAACATTTTAGAAAAACCAATTAGTGATAGACCGGGAATTCCTAGATACATCGTGTGCTGTCTCAAACCCAAATGGTAAGTGAGGAGTGAAAACGAGATGTACTATTGGAGTAGGTGAGTTGAGTATATGATTACGGTCCTAGTCTACACATCGTTGTCCGAGTCAGCAAGGATTAAAACAATTTGTTTTGGCAGTTAAACCTTTCTACTCATCAGTTTTTTTATTTCCGCAGTGGATCTGATAAGTCATTTGGAAAGTATTATTGTAACTAGATCGGACTGTAGACCAAGATCGTTAGACAAAACGAGTATATATCACAATCAAAACATAGCATTTCAAGATTTCAGGCACTTGTTGTTGAAGGTTAATAAACGGAAATTTCCTCATCCATTTGTAAAGGTTTGAATCCTCTGTAGTTAATGTTATGGACTATAATTAGTCAATACCTTCTGAGATGACTGACTCGATATTGACTACGTAAATAACGCCTAGAGAGTTTGAAGCGGAAGCCACTGGGCTTGAGTCCCAATGTAAACATCAACACTGGAATAGAAGTTCAGATGACGAATAACAGATAGGGCGAACCTTGTGTCTTGGATCCCACTACTAGTCACTAACCTTGTATAAGAAATGAGATTTATCTAAAGTAAATAAGCCTCTAAACATTTAGAGGAGAACTAAATAGAAAATAGCGTTAAAATATTTTATTGAGGAAATTCATCTTAATTTCTGGTAGACAGAATTCTTGATTCAATCCATAGACGTTAAAACAAGGTGATACATTTTACAAGAACTGAATGCATTACGTCTGTTTTAATTGCATTTAGAGAACAGACAATTTTCTTGAAATTTTGAGTTAGTTTATAGAAACGTTTTATAAAGATATTTCTATTCCACTAGGAAAAGAAGACTGATACTATTTGATTGGAGGTAGGCCCAATATTAACTAGCGCCGAACAAAAGACCAATGACCACCAGTCTAAGATCGTTATTACATTTCATACAGAATTACCTTATGTACAAGCAGATCAGACTGCATCACACCATGAAATAGAGAATGATTGTTGTTTCGCGTTCTTTTTCTCTGGTTTTAGATGATTACATGTAAATTTTAACTGGACTGGAATTGGCCTATTTCATACCGTTTATTTCTCCTCTTTGGAAACACGATGTATCAGTCTTTCTATTACGGAAACACCGGTTCCTATACGTTATAGCATATAACAACAGATAGCCAGAAAATCAATCACAAATCTTAGTACAGTCCATAAGTTTCGTCAGACCACAGCATCTTCATTAGTTCTAATTCAACAATCCCACCTTTTCCCCCACAAATTTAGGGTGTTTTATGATCTTACAACCCACTACATGTCTAAACACAGTTACAATGGCCCCCAGTTAGTGCTGAACAAAATCATGTTGTGAAAAAGCGAACTGCAACACTGTTTAGTGTATCTTTCTTGGCGTAAACGTAACATCTATCATTTCAAAACGCTCGTGACATTGTAGTTATGGTACTTACTCAGCTTACTTATGTTCTTCATATATTATCTATTTAGAACAACACTGTGTTTACAATGCTTATGGCTTTCAAGGTGTTTATTCAGAAAATAATGATGAACTCTAAGATGCCATCTCTGATTATGCGTTTCGCTTGCACCTCACACCTCACAGTATTAATATATTTATGACATATTTACTGTCAAAACAATTTATCAATCACATCTCACATAATCTACCCTCGTTTTTTAAATATTATTATTTTCAAAATATATTATTACTATGTATTACTGCTTTGATTTCGGCAAATATCTTCAACCAAATGCAGATTTACAAAATTGTATATTGTCCTTATCTACTTTCTAAATAGTCATGATTAATAACTCAGTGATAAGATTGCGAAATGGTTGATCTAATACAACTAGTGTCAGTGAAGCTAATATATACCTATATGTACATAGGATACAAAATGTAGCAATCTTTTCATTGTTTCCAAATGGCAATTTTCAATGTATAAGAGTAAATGATATTGTCTACTATTTTAGACTAGGTAAATTTTAAGAAATAACTTTACTGGTTGATCATTTAAGCAGTAAGTTTATATTAAGATTAATTTTTATTGAAAAAGAAAATGCCAGTCAAAATATGTCACAGTAAATTCAAATCCACTTACAGTAGATCAAGCAAACCAAAATAACGAAAAAAAGTTCTTTTTACATGAGTCTATTGTCCAAATGCAACAAAATGTTCTTAGTGTACATTAATTAAGAAAACAGCATTTTACTGGTAATAAACAAGACGTAAATTATTTGTCAGGAAATTAAAATAAAATTTGAATAAATATAAACTAGTAAATGAAGTCATAAACTGAAGATACAAACCGGAAATCAAATAAATTATTTACATTTACCTAAAACCTGGTAGGAAAAGTAGGCAAATTGAAAAGCAGTATTTATTATAAGCTGGAATGTCTTCGAAAAAAAGAACTTATTATCACATAAAAAGATTACTTCTTCTCATTCTCAATAATATGTAAACCCTCACTTATAACAGATGACCATGAACTATTGTCAATTTTTATGAGAATAATTTCCACAGCATCTTCACGTATAATCAATTGTGACCGTTTATTATCTAGTGTGCCCGGTAATTTGTTAACATGAAGTCGATAATTACAGTCTTTTAAAGTATCAAGCCCATGAAATTCAAACAGAAAACCATCATTACTTAGATGAAATACTATTTCACCATTTGATGCTTTTTTGTAAAGTTTGGGAATAAGTTTTTTATGAAATTCTAATATAGTTGACGATTTTAAGCCATGAATTTGTATAGTGATACGTAATTTGTTTGTGGCTAGACTTGTATCTAATGCGTAATTTGGTACTATTAAATTATCATCACGACTTGAATATGCCATAATTTGAATAGATCTAAAAGTAAACCGGTGAGATAAGAACAAAAAAGGTGATTACTAACGAGGTTGATCAATGTAATAATGAAACATTCACTTTCGGATACTATTGATAAAATGGCGCTGGACACGCCAGAATTTTCAACACGTCATAAATCCTGTGCCACCATGAAAAATCCTAATGAATGAACGTGTTGTTGAACGCATTAGAATGTTTACCCAGAACAAATAAAGTATGATTTAAAAACGAATGAAATAAAATTCCATCTGCTAATAGATGATGTGTGTTCTGAATAATAATGTTGAATGCGGTGTAAGTTGTTTTTATTGATCGAGAAATTTCATTTAGTCTGTTTCTTAGCATAAACGTACGCCTGACCACGGATGTGTATAGGTTTAAGTTGCCACACACCACGTCAGACCAGTTATAAAGGAAGCTGATAAAATGAGTAAAAGAACTGAACCTCCTTGGACGAGTATCAAAAATTAGGAGATACAGCACTAAGGGATGAAATTAAATCAAAGAATAACAAATGACTAATCAAACTTGACTCATGATCCATATCATAAGGAATGCTAAAGCACCGTTGCGACTGATCTTGCGGTATATCACATAACGCCTTCAACCGTGGATCCTGAATATCACATGAGCTTCAACTAGAAAGGCCCGAGCACGACAGCACGATTCACGAAGCTATTCAATGACTATATGAGCTCATGAGAAATTTCTATTTGCTTGCCCTGATTTTAAACCTACTACATTATCAACAAGCATTAAAACTAGGGGTGAACGGGGACTTTAAGTGGACTCCAGGATATGCCAATCGATATGAATTTTAGGAAAGTCGTCTAGATCTATCTTGAAATATTAACATAAAAATGGAATACAGAGAAAGTGGTCACAAAAGACATTTCGTCTAATCGAAGCTTTCACCGACAAAAGACCCATATCCAAGAGCGACAGAGCATCATAATGCACTGCAAATATCATAACATTTGCAAGCTCATACTAGGATATCTTGAAATTAGTGATAACAATCCAAGTCCTTGTGAATGGAATAAAAGAAGTGGTGAGACTATAATTTATGGAAGACCTTAAAGTGAAATTAAGGTGGACTAGAAAGACTTCAACCAATTACTAGGACCAGGAAAAGTTTAAAAATGAATGTGAGGAACTACGACTAGGTGTTTGTGTTTAAAGCCAACGACTCAAGTCATGTTTTCTATCACCAACCGACATCAGCTATAATGCCAAAATGCTATCTATTCAGATGGATTGAAGTTCGTGCGAATAATCAAGTAGTTTTAACTTTAACCTCATTAGTCCCTTCAAAACTCATAGTCCCACCACATAAGATGCAAAATATAAATATTAGTCAAGTAGAATGACGTACTATCTTGAGTCCTCGGAATTTACCTAATCTCCCTATTTTGGGGTTTTCCCCAAAGCTTGGGGAAATCAACAAAATTTTGGGGATGTAATGCCAAAACCTGCTAAACATCGCAACTTAATCAACCTTTAGTTACTAAAGCACTTTATACCTAGAGTTAATTGCAGACTAAGAGCAATTTTAAACCAAATTTACGATATCTCCTCACTGTAACGCCTAACTATATACAATTTGCGTCCCCCAAGGTTAGGTAATTTCAAAATTCAATACCAAACATCTTTGTGACGAGCTTGTATGAAACGATCAGTTCCTTCGCGTTCGCTCTTTGTTGTTTCATTACGATTAAAAGTCTTTATAAGTTTTTAATTGGCTGTTTTCAGTGACTCAACTCCAATAGTTCTAGTCATTTTAGTAGATATTTATGTAATCTGAGTGCGTTTGTTCCACAACAGTATGATCCCTGGTACTATCAGCTACCGCACTACTACGCAGTGTTTGGTTGGCTACAGCCTGAAAAATAAAAAATAAAAATCTGAATATAGGAGAGCTAGGAGAAATTGATTGTCTCAAGAAACAAATAAGTAGATCATTTAATTATGTCAACGATTTGAGAGACCCGAAGTGTAACCATAGGTAGACGGAGTTGAGGGTTAAAAAGATAGGACCAAAGTGATGATATCCGATTGTGGTAAAAGCAAATAAATTACAAGATATTCATTAGGGACCCTTTTTCTAAACAGGAGATGAAATTTCCGTGAGCATTCATTACCAAATATCCTCGTGAAGCAATAGCCTTAGGTTGCTGTAATCCTTTCGGCCAGGACCACATGCTAAATTATCGAAGCCGTCATCAAAATAGGCGGAAGTATACCCGAGACTGTACTGTTTGATGTCCAGTAGTTTTGGGATCGACTCGCCGGCCGTGTTGGTGAGGTCCTGGTAGAATATTTATGTCGGGGTGCCTTGGCTTGCTTAGTATGTTGTATGCCGTTGTCAGTTTACGTCTTGTCCTCTTACGACTCAGAAAGGATAACCACGAGCATTGAATTCTATCTTCATAAAATTTGTTTCTCACCACTATCATGAATTTTCCTGTTCTTTAGTGTAGTCGGTTTATGAAAATTATTACTGATTTGAATTTCAGGATCAGCTGAGCATCAGCTGAGTTGCACAAGACATTGCTCAGGTATGGAAATGTGAAATACCTTCTCTGTTACTTTGATGATCTGGAGACAAGAACAAACTATTTTTTCAATCGAAGTTATTTAGATAAAGCACATCAAATGATTTCAGTGGCATCGAATATAGGAAGAATATCTCATTATATTGAAAAACGTAAGTCAATTTCGCAGTCTAAAAATGTTACAGATTCTTTTTTAAGTCCGTAGAAACGAACTTAGTGAGATTTCAAAGTTGCTGAAGAATTATTTCTTAGCTGGACGACCGCAGAGACCCCTAGGAAAGTTTTCATGGTTGAAATAACTTGAATAATCTTGTAAACGAACACCTGGTCCTCAAGTAGCTGTTGACCACCAACGTAGATGATCCATGTCGAATGATTGAGGACCTAGTCGAGTTGGATGGAAATAGCGTGACCAACCAGCTGACTTCAAAATCACATTTCACGGTTAGCCCTTGACGAGGATTACCCTTCCGTCGTACCCAGGTTCCCAGCTCAACTGGACCTATCGGAGATCAAGGCAGCACACACATACCTTCCTATAGATGTCGCTCCACCGACGACCGAAGAAATCAGAATGGCCATCAGACAAGTGAAGTGTGGGGAAGCAGTAGGACCTGACAATATTCCGGCCAAAGCATTAAAGTCAGACATAAACGCCCAAATTCAAGACGAATAGACTGGATTCCGTAAGGATCGGTTATGTACAAAACAAATCGCGACGTTACGTACCATCGTTGAACAATCAGTTAAGTGGAACTTGTCACTATGCATCAACTTCATTGATTATGAGGCGTTTGACACTGTTGATATGAGGACATTATGGAAATTCCTTCGGCACCATGGTGTTCTTGTTATGCTCGTCAATGTCATATGGAATTTACACAATAAACAACACCGCAAAGGTGCGCAAGGAGTACAGGTGGCAGATGCATTCTAGGTGAGGATCAGTGTCAGACGAGGATGGTTACCTCCCCCTTTCTCTTTCTTCCGGTGTTCGACCGGATCATGAAACCTCCATATCTGAGAGGAATCACGGAACGCAACGGACAGTTTGGATTCAACTAAACGATTTGGACTTCGTAGATCACCTAGCCTTTCTATCCCGTACACACGAACAAATGCAAATGAAGACAACTAGTGTAGCAGCAGTCTCTGCATCAGTAGGCCTTAATACACCAAAGGGAAAAACAAAGTTCCTCAAATGCAATGCGTAGAGCACCAACCCAATCACACTTGATGAAGAAATAATGGAAGACGTGGAAAAGTTCATGCACCTGGGTAGCATCATTGGCAAACAGGGAGGATAGGACGCAGACGTATAGGCGAGGATTGACAAAACAAGGACAGCATTCCTACAGTTGAAGATCACGCGGAACTCAGAGAAATTGTCAACCAACATCAAAGTTAGAATCTTCAACACAAGCTTCAAGATAGTTCTGCTGTACGGAAATGAAACTTGGAGAACTACCACAGTGACCATCGGAAAAGTGCAGGTATTTACGAACAATTGTCTACTCAAGATACACGATGTCCGTTGACCGAATACCATCAGCAACAGTCTAATATTGGAGAGAACAAGCCAACTGGAAAGGAAAAGACGTTGGAAGTGGATTAAAAATACATTGGGAAAATCATCAAACTGCATCACAAGGCAAGTAATTACTTGGAATCCTTGGAGGAAACAGAATAAAGGAAGATCAAGGATTCCACTCAGCCGAGAATTGGAGACGGAAATGAAAAAATGAAAAGCAACTGAAAACAACCGGAAAAGAATTGTTCAGGACAGAAATGGATGGACAATACTGATGGACAATCTGTGCTTCACTACGACGAGTGACAGGCGTAATTAAGTAGATTTGGAGGTAGTATTTGAAGATTTTAGGGCTGATGAGCTGATTATATGAATTTGAGGGGATTTTTTCACAATCCATAATGTACTACTTGACTCAATCTGTTCAGCTAGTAGTATCAATTGAGAATAATACAATCGTTGTCAACATTGAATCACTGTTTAATTTAAGAATTATTATGCATACTTTATTATGCCTTAGAAGTCTCACACTTTGTATTTGAAAGAGCAACATTTCAAGAATCTTCATCATCAGTACCTAGAATATTTGACACTCTCATAGTTCACAAGCTAATTCTCGGTTTGGATACTTTAACTACCTTGTTCATTTTAAGAATTTGTTGTGATCAGAAAAGCAAAAAATATGTTTTTCGCAAAACAGCAACCATATCGAAGTAAGTGCCAGTAAATAACCATTGACTTGACCTGAAAATTTCACAACTGTCATTGGAATGCGTCTTTAATGGTAAAAATTTAAATCGAGTATTTACATAGTCGGATTATGAGCGAGGGCAAAATGGAAATTATGTCATGTACAACGCATATATTTAGTTTATTTCTGATTATCGATGTAATAACGAAAACTGGTAAAGGTTACTTTTCATCCTTTCAGTTAGTCAACTGGCGTGTTCTATTTATGAAAACAAATACAACAGGAGTGATTGTTTGAATGAGAAGCACATCGAATTCTCACAAGTATTTTGACTTTTCCAATATGAATTTTAAAAATCCTATGTGAGAAAGAATTGAGAAATCTACAATTATAAACGTAGGCCTCACAATACCACTTGCTTCTGGATGCGTTTCGTTGTCCATCGATTCTATTCCGAAATTATCGGTGATACTCAGCTTTTCACTATTTAAAAAGTGATTCCATCAATGATTTACTGTGAGTAATTCACGACAACTTGCAACAGCCAGTCAGTGATGTAAACTACCATGTTCGGGATTCTTCGTAAATCTCTTGCATTACCCCTTATTTCTGAACTATTTCTCATCAGATGCCATCAATAGACCATTAATTCACAGAAGCGATAATGTTTCAAGTGTGAAAGGATGTGCATGCGGAAGTATATACGACCATAAGACCAGACGTGTTTTGGTATTTGACGGAGTTGGTTTGAACAACAAAAAAACTTTGGTAAGGATTTAAATCACCGTAACAAAATATTACCGTACATATATTCATACTTTTTATTTCGATATAAAAAACGTCACCTCATATTTATGTTCAAACACAAATTTTCGTTACTCAATAGCGCGAATCCCCATTGAGTTATTTAGCTTAAAGTGGACATGAAAGATTAAGCTACTGAATTACCAAATAAAGTTGCTTTATAATTAACTTTAGGAGATTGATTGTCTTACTTTTTTTGTTCAAATTCAGGTTGTGTTTTTGTGATAACGTTGTCTGAAACTTAGTTTGCTTTTTATTCTGGACTAAACCATGTGGATGTTGACTTTAGAAAAATGTGGGTATGACTGTTTGACGCTAACAAAACTAACAAGAATGTTTAAGTCTAGCTAAGTGAATAAAGATGCCACATGTACTCGGAGTTTAACAACGCCGTAACCAGCAGCACCTTTTATAATCGAAATATGCCAACTCAGTCATATCAAAATTCAGAAGCAAAGAGGTTCAAAGATACGTTTTATAAGCTATCGATATATTGTAAAGGGATTAATCTAGACTCGCTAGAAGTTGTAAGAGATGTGTAGCAGGGCGTACTCACTCGTGATCTGGTGCAGATACGTGACCGAGCTTCTTCAGCTAGGTGAGTTCAGTAAAACTAATTTGGTCAGATTCAAATGTCGAAGGCTTACGAAGCTATTGGTTTTGGGGATTTATCTACCTCTACATGAATATCATAGTTATATAATATGCCCTTGTAGGCCAGGGTAATTTTACATTGGCTTTCAAGAGAACCAGACACCATCCAGACTTTCACGTGACAACCCAAACAGTACAGCCCAATCCCGTTTAACAGGAGAGTCAGACACCACCCAGGCTTAAATTTTATAACCAAAGCAGTACAGTTCAATCCCGCTCCACAGGAGAACCAGACACCGTATAAGCTTTAACGTTACGATCTGAATAGTACAGCTCAATCCTGTGGCGCAACCACACAGCTACCAAGCACCCCGGTTGACCATTCATATACACATTCACATCACAGGTATAGTTATTCTGATCAATGATAGCGTGAATCAATTATGCACAGCACGAACTGGC